GGGGGCGGGGCGCGAAGCCAATTAAACACGGCAATTGCAGTGGGTTAATTAAGCCTAGTGTCGAGCTCATTAACCAGGGACCGCTCACCTCTTCCTATACCTGCAGCACCTCCAGGACGAGCCACTGCTCTGGGTGATCCGCTCCATCCCTTCTCCTGCATGGGAGAAGGCTCCACATGCCTCATCCCAGCCAATCCTGACCTCTCCATGCCATGGTCATGGCCTTCCCCTCATCCTCCCAGCCAACAAGATGCCTCCAACCCCTCCATGTCCACTTACCCGGCTTTTCCCCCTCCATAGCGTAACCTTCAGGAAATGAAGTCTAAACTAAACTGGGAATAAAGGAGGAAAGACCTAAAAGGAGCCTGGAGTTAGTTGGAATAAAGCATACGGAAGGTGGTGGCTGCGAGGTCTGGCTGATGGGGAGGAAGAAAGGAGATGGGAACAATCAGTTGTGCTGGGACTGCATTTTATTGCAAGGGAAATACAAAACAGCAGCATTCCAGGGACCCAACGTCCTGGAGGCAAGGCAGCCCCTCACAGTGGCTTCTCTCCTGGCTCTCGGATGATCCACAGTGCATCCCTGTCAGTGGAATATCCTCCAGCAGCTCAGGCACAGGATTTTCCCAGTGCTTGACCTCGTCAAGGGTGGTGGGTGCAGGATTTGTTCCAGGGAGGAGCAGAGCCCCCAGATCTCCTTGCTGCTGGGGCAGCAGCCGGGGCTCTCCTCACCCAGGGATGTTAACGTGTAACAGCACGTAAGGATTTACCTGGATTTCTGGCTCCAAACACCTGAGCACAGCCTCATGGGCAGAGGAAACTCAAGCCCCCAAACACCAGGTCCATGTGGAGCTCAGCAGGGTGCTGGGCTCCACAGGATGGCAGGTCTGAACATTTTATTTCAGTTTGGGCCATTCCCCCAAATAATAATAGATTCTGCTTCAGCCCTCTACACTGACTCCATCATCCTCTGCTTCTGGATTGAACAAAGGTGACGAGATACCCACAGGGGAAACTGGGACTCTGCACAACCAGAGCGCTCAAGTCTGTTAAAACACAGGCAAAGAGCTCAACTCTTCATCTCCACCTTGAGCTTCAAGCGGACATCACAGAGGAAAACGTTCATCAGGTCCTGGCCAGCCTCCTGAGCAATCTTGCTGATGACCTTCCCTCCTCTTCCAATCAACATCATCTGTATTAAAACCCAGAGAGATCAGCAAACTCATCCTTATGTTGTTGAACAGCAGGAAGGAACTGCCCAAGAATACAACAGTGCACCCATAGAAGCAATGAAAGGGGATACAGCAGTGAAAGAAATCCCCAGATCAAACCCTGGGCAACTCCAAAGAGGCATAAGCATGAACAGATTGTGCTGGGCACCCAACTCTTCCCAGCAGAGACCCCACAGTTGAGGAGAGGGGATCACAGCAAAGATACACACACATTGCACCAGAGAAAGCTCATTTCACACTCCCCAGCATCCCATCTGTCTTCTGTCACTCACCATATGAGACTTCTTTGGGACCAGGAGGTTCTGCACGATGAGGAGCTCCCCACTCTGTCCTTCCTCCCATATCTCTGTCACCTGCAACATCAAGTGAGTGTTCAGCAGTTCCACAAAGCACCTCAGGAACCACAAATGCTGCTCCCTCAGAGGCCAGCTCAGCTCCCCAACCCCTTTCAAACACACACCAGGTGCTGTGAGACCCACTGTGTAAGTCCCAAGACACCCCACAGGGCCTCTAAAGAGTTTGGCACATTTCACAGCTTCAAAGAAAGGGATTCTCAGCACACCCCCTGCCATTTCCAAGGAAATAGTTCAAAGGCAAGTCTGCTTCCGCACACTTCCCACCTGAATCACGCCGTAGGGCACTTCCAGTGGCAGGTACTCCAGTATCTTCTCCCTGATGATATTATTACAGATCTCTTGAGGCGACTGGCTCGTCAAGACCCTGCTGTGAAACTCCCAAGGGCCCGGCTTGGCTTGCATGAGGAGGTACCGCTGCCACACAAACACACATCACACCATCAGATGTCATGTACCGCTCACATGGCCACCAACCCCTGTGCTCATCCTGCTGTGAGTCACTATGAGGATGCTGCTGCTGGTCAGGCATTGGGTTGGAAGGGACCTTAAAGCTCATCCAGCTCCAACCCCTGCCACGGGCAGGGACACCTTCC